TAGCCAGGGTTGGTTTTTGTAATCGCCTTGAGTTTGGATGGATAGTCTAGTGAGAAAAAACAAGATGCTGAACAACAGGTTCCGTACAGAAAGGCAATTTTACGTCCCATAACATTAAGTGCAGCAGGGAATAGCTTTGGCTCCACATCCTGCCTTTGAGCACACACTATAAACTTCCGAAATTATGATATATCAAGTTACAGTTTCATTTTCTGTTTGGAATACCTTGAAATTTCTAGGACAGCAGTTGTTTTGTATCCCATTCAGATCCTGCTTCGAAGAGATATGCATCAGGCTTCTTCTCATGAAGATTTTGCATTTATACATTTTGTCTTTACCTTTTTTCACAGAAAAGATGCTCAGGCTGGAATGTGTGCTTGGAAAGCAATCTAAGGGGAACACTCCAAAATATACAGTACTTAAGCAAAACCAGACCTGTTAGGGTTTCTGCCCTGGTCAACACAAACTTTTATGAGCACACATCCTTATGCAGTTGGGTAATTTTGTTGAGGTCAGTGAGTCTCCTTATCCTTAAAGTTACCCTTACATACCTAGCTTGCTTGGTCTGTGTTTCTAATACCTTAAGGGTCCTCTGGGCTTATCTTTGCTGAAGTATGTTGTAGCTTCAGTGCCACTCTTCAGTCAGATCTGCTTTCACGCTGCACACCTCCACTGCTGTGTTACTCCCTTTATCTTAATTTTAACCTGGCCAAACCTTAACCTATAGCTCAAGGTAGAGCAACTGATCTGTTGTGAAAGCAAATCTTATATTTTGTGCATTTTCAGGGCTATGTCATAGTCTGATTATTCATACCCAAGCTAGGCTCAAGAGGGGTTATTCTGAGTCTGGATAAATTCAGACTAAGTGAAAAATGTATCCTCTAAAACATTTAGCAAATGGCGTATTGCTTTACATGCTGTATGGTCATAAGTGAAAGTGTCATTATTCTGTCCAGGGTTCAGCTTACAAGATTTCTTTCAGTTTGATTTTTGGTATAAATTTCTTTTTTTAATGGAGTAATGAATCCCATTTACCTGGTGGGAGGGTCAGCCGGTTTGCCGAGGTGCGGGACGGGGTGTGTGCTCCCGCAGTCCCAACCCAGGGGGTAGAAACAGGAGAGACCTGCTGAGAGCTGCTCCTGCTGAGCTCCCGGGCTAATCACTGCCTTCGTAAGATGTGTGCAGGGAAGTAGAAGAGTGATGTGCTGTAATTCCTACAAAGCATTTTATTTATTACACAGTCAAAATTTATGACATCCTAACCCCATCAAGTGCTCCCAATAAATTTGGGATTTCAAATGGGTATTTTCTATGTAAATGGAAACCGAATTCATTTTAACAATTTAATTGTTGTGTCTGTGTGTTGATACGGATGAGGAAGCTGTCAGCTGCTTTGTGACACTCACCCTGAAGCTCTGCTTTGGCTGTGTCTCCTTACTGATCCCAATTAAAGTGAAATCAGAAAAAAATAGAGGCTAAATGGAGAGGTCAGTGGCAGGAGTCTCCTGTCAAAAGACACCATTGTTTTCTGTACCTGGGCTAATAAGCAGCCTATTAATCAGTGCATGTTTAGAATAAACTAGATTCAGTTTTGCCTCACTGCAAAGATGCAGGAGATCTTTCATTTAATTTCTCTCCAAAGCTCTCTAGACCTCAGATAAATCATCCTGAGTCAGCATTCAAGGCTTACATAAGAAATCCCTCTTTCTCTTTCTTCTCTGCCTCACACGCAGACGTACCCACTGCGATGGGGCAGGGAGACCTGCGCGGGGAGCCCCTGCGTCCCAAAGGAGCCCCTGGGCGGATGGCGGCAAGTCTGCGTGCCTCAGGCAGCTCTGCCCTGCTGCATTGCCCCGGTGCACCAAGAGCTTTGTTGTGATAACCCATGGGCTATCCAGGCGCAAGCTCTGGCTAGAAAAACATAATGAGGTCATGTTAGCATGTCTCCTGCCTCTACTATAGTCTCCACTGCCTCTTATTCAAGGAGTAAGCGCTATTAGCTGGAGCCTCAGGTTGGAGCCCTCCTTCTAGACCACAGGCTTCTGTTTCTTGTTGAGCCAAATGGATGTGAATGGGAACTAAATGCAAAAACATTTACCATCATTTCTGTAATTCATATGCTGGTGACATCTGTTTTCCTATGCTCCAAATAAAAGCCTGACGCTGTTCTCATGGCAAGGTGAATCAGAGGCATCCAGCTGCATTCCCAGAGTGTCTCAGACCTGGGCTTTGGCTGTGGTCAGAAGCACATTTATTCCAGTGGGGATGGTTTAAAAGTGCCCCATTACAAAAGAACGTGGTGTTAACAGCCACGGGGTGAGGGGGAATAAAGAGGGAAGAAAAAAGGAAGAAAATCAAGCATCACAGAAAAAGGCACTACCTTAGTCACACTTCAGCCATGCATGGGAGAGCTGGACAGAAGGAATTTCCAGTCTGCTCATCTGCTTCCTTGAAATGCTAGAGGTAGTCCATAGGCATGGCATGAAAGGAGACGTGACCATCAATGCAGGGCACAAAGTAAAAAAGAATTAGCAGCACTCAGCTGCATTACCCAGGAGGTGAGACCTGATGCTTGTAAGTGTTGCTGGTTCTAAAAGCTGACAAAGCAGCAAAGATAGAAAAGAGATTGCTTTTACACTCAAACAAAATTTGAAAGACTGTGAGACACCATGGCCAAAAGCCTAAAAAGTATTTTTAAAAAGTATTTAATGCCTAAATTCTTTTTGGTCTTGAGTGACACTAGGGATGTACTCAGTTCCCTCCACACCTAGGCAAGTGGAGGGCTTATTTCCCAGGAAGGGCTGAGCCTATTGCAGGATCTCTCCCTGCCTGTAACCTGTCTCACCTCCCTTCCAGTATGCAGCTGCCTTCACCATTTGGTTGCCTTTCTCTGGCATCGCTGTCAAGAGTCACCCTTAGCATTGCAGTTTGTTGGGGTCTCTGTCTCTCTCGTTGTCACTTTTTAGCTATAGTAATGGGTCAAGTCTTGCTTTTCCTTTTATCAAGATCTAATTCTTCTCCTGATCAGGCAGTTTAATCTAGAGATTAATTGAAATGCATTCAAGGTAAGTGAATGCTGTGCTGACATTGACTTCCAGTGACTGGTACCATAGGTCTAAAATAACACCTACTTGCTGGTATTTGTAAGGTTTCATTTGTTCTGGCATGGGCTTTTTTGCTGAGCTGCAGTTTGAGTAGTAAATGCAGCTATGATATACGTCACAGGATGGGCAGTCCAGATCTCAGGCCGTTTGGTATAAAGGGACCTTGCAGAGCTCCCTGTCTATCCGCCTTGGCAGTGCTCTCCTTTTCTTACATAGAGTTATTGCAGGTGCATTCAAATAAAATAGACTAGCCTGTAGACGAGGCTTTCCAGATAGGCAGCAAAATAGACTGTTCTCATCCATTTTTAGAGCTTTACCGGGTTAATTACTGGTTACTAACTGCTGGTTTCTAGGACAGACTGCTGCACTCAGAAATCAATGGGGTAAGATGTGATAGTTTGCAAAGTCAGCAGAGAAACAGACTACCATGAATGAAACTAGACAATGCTTTGTTACTTGCAAATGCAAAAACTAGACACTCAATAGATAGTTTTGGTTTGAGTGGGGTTTTTTTGGCTTTTATTGAAGCACCATGTTGGCAGACATGTTGAAGCTATTTACATTCAAGTTTCAATAAATGTAGTGCTGGAGATTCCTCTAAATGATTTTATCTTGTTTTTAAAATAAAATCTGCATGATCATTCTGCATTCTTTCCCTGCTGGCATCGGTTTTGTTCTTGCAGCCAAGAGAGTCAGTTAATAGTTTCTTTCAAACTTGCTGGATCCAGTTTTTGATTTTGGTTTCTCCCGTCCCTTCTATTCTTGCTGTGTCCTAAGGGAGACCCTGCTGGAGTTGTCAGCTATAAAACTTTTTTTTTTTTTTAAACCCAGCTATTGCTCTGATTGTACTAAACCAAGCAAGGAAATGTAACCAGTTGTTTTTCTTTTTTGTGTGTCTGTTCTTTCTCCCAACAAACCATATGCTTCACTTCCTTACCAGTGTCATTAGGCCAGTGACGTAGTTTTTCTTCCTTGCTTTACCTTAGGCCCTGATTTGGCAACTCACATAGCAGATGCTTTCCATATGGCATAGGCTTTATCAACCATGGTACATTTTCAGCTATTGCAGTGCTTCCATCCGCTGTGCTGGTTTTGTACAGCAGGGTGCGTGTGCATGGGTACTGGTATTGAAGCAGACACAGTGACTAACCCTTCTGCCAGCCCGTCGTTCTTGCTGCTTTCTTGCCCATAACCAGTGCTGCAGTAAGTGCATAGGTGGGAAATGTATTAGAAGAATATTCTACTGAACAGAACAAGGCTAATGCAACTCTGGTGGCAAGCTTGGTGGTTGCAGGCGTTTTGCCCTCTCTAGTGTTTTTACTTCTAGCCAGCCTACAGTGGTGTTACGCAAAGGACTAGGTGGTGGTAAACTGGCACTCAACTTCAGCATAGTAAAAGAACTTGGGTATCAAAGTCTTTTTGTGCTGTGATTAAAAAACAAACAAACCACACCTCCCCTGGAGATGGTCTATGCAGTGGCTGGCTAATGCTTGTCCTTAGGCTGTAAGAGTCAGTACCAGTAAAGAGATAGGAAAGCAAAGCTAGACCAGTTCCAACCTGCTGCTCTGGCCCTCCATTGGCATACCTGTATACACTGAGACCTGAGCAAAGGGAAGCAGGCACAAGCTCTGGAAACTTTAGGATACATATGTCTTCTGCGGATCAAATCCTGAAGTCAGGTATCAATCAGTATTTGAGGATCTGACTCATGGTGAGGGGGTACAGCACATTGCAGCTACAGCTCACCCGAGCTTCCATGGCCTCACTGAGTTTTCGCTCCATTTTCTTCTGAGCGTAAAAAGGCTGAATATACAGTTTGTAGACATCTCTGCAGATTGAGCAGAAAGGAGAGGCGGTAATTGTACTAACACGAAATGGCAATTTCTGCATTTGCAGGTTCACAGAGACGGAGGCTTATTCCAGCTTTATCACTTGATACCACCTCCCCAGCAAGGAAGCCTGCCAACAGCCCCGGGGTCCGCTGGGTGGATGGGCCCCTGCGAAGTGGGCAGAGGGGGCTGGGGGAGCCCTTTGAGATCAAAGTCTATGAGATAGATGATGTGGAGAGGCTCCAGCGGCGACGAGGTGGGGACAGCAAGGTGAGTGCGATCCATGTAATCTATCTGACTCCTCCTGGAAGATGTAAGAGGGGGAATTCAGATTATGCAGTCAGAAATACATAGTATCGTATAGGGTTTATTCAACAGGCAGCAAAACCTATTATCTCATTTAAAAGCAGTTATGACTCAAATTATGCCTTCTTCCTTAGCAGCCAGCAGACGTTTGTACCTTGCATTTTTGCCCCTTGGTTATAGTCTTGGTGGTTCCTGTGCTCCAGCCTCATCACATCTGTTTTCAAGGCAGCAATGATGCCTCAAGTGCTTTGATGATACTGTTTTCAGGATAGCTAATGTATTCTCTCTGACAAAGTTGTTCCTGCCAACCTCAGGCCTCCGAATTTACAAAAAGATCAGGGAATTGTAAAGGTCACTCTTGAGAGGTACGGTTGGGAAGAGTATCTGAAGTTAGTGAAATAGCACTAATTTTAGAGTAACTATGGATATACACTTTATTACTGTTTTAAGGCACTTTTGCTTCCTAGCCCCTCTCACTTGGCTAGGCTGTTTGTGATGTTGTTCTCTGATATGATTTTGTATGGAGAGAAAAAAAATCACTTCTTGTGGTGGGGTTTCCACTGTACTTCACCCACACAGCAAATCTGTCTACAGAGCAGAAGGCAGAATAGTGTTGAGACATTCACACAGGCTTGGAGGAGGATAGTTCTGGTATTGGGAATGCTCCCACGCTAGCGAGGGTAGCACAGCCCTCACCGTGGGCTCACTTACTGCCCGTCTTGATGGCTGCCACCCCTCAGAAGTCATGCAAGGCCAGGCTGGGTGTCTCCAGACAGCACTGCACCTTGTGGTCTTGCTGTGCCCTGTATCTTTACAGAAAATATATCTTCTTTATCGATTGTGACTTGCTAGAGCTTTTCATAACATACTCCCTTTGTTTAAGGATGTTTTAAATTTGATATTGCTACCAGTTCTCTTATTTTATAATATGACTACTGCATTTCTTATGCGCCAACCACAGAGAGGAATTTAGGATTTTAATACAGCAAGCAATGGATTTCCTTCTCCCAAGAGCTTAGATATTCTTAGCCAAACTTCTGGTGACAAAAACCAGAAATGTTTTGCTGCAGTTAATCCGATTTCAAGATGCTGCCTGTTATTAATTATTATGGTTTATTATTAACTACCATTGCAAAGTCTCCAAAGCTCACTGATGGAAAACATCAAAACCAAACAAAAGCAATAAAAATAAAACAGATGATAGATTATTTCATGCAGTGATTCATATGCTTCCAGAGTAAATGGCTTGTTGTCAGTATTATTGATTAGAAGATCATTTGACTGAATGGATCTGAGTATTTCTTCTCCTCTTCACCTATTCCTTCCCTGCTCCTTTTTCCTGGCTGGCAGGAGGTGATATGTTTCAATGCCAAGCTGAAAATCCTGGAACATCGCCAGCAGAGAATTGCTGAGGTCAAGGCCAAATATGAGTGGTTGATGAGAGAACTGGAGGTGACCAAACAGTACCTGATGCTGGATCCTAATAAATGGCTCAGTGAATGTAAGGGCGTTGTTTTATTGCCTGGACTCATAGGTGTCCTTTGGTTTATTTCATGACGGGGGACAGAAGGGAGCAGAAATGTTTGCTATGAGTGAGTTGTGAACTACTGTGTTTGTAAACTAAAATGAACCAACATAAGACCTAAGGGCAAGTTTTAGATTGACTGTATTTCTAGAACTAGTCCCTATAATTCTTATTAAATGTTGACAGTAGAACTGCACAATCCTTTTTGCCTGAGAGCTGAATGTTGAAATGGTACAGCATTGTAGTGGTGAATATTGCCATTGGTAGATTAACGTTCACGCGTTTCAGTCCACAGCTCCTGAAAATGAGATATTTTTTTTTCTTGGCCTCAGATCACTCAGACATATGAGCAATGTTATAAATCTGCTCTTCTACCACAAAATAACACTGTGGAGCAAACTTGTCCCCTGGCACCAGTGGGCTTACATGAAAAATGAATTTGGTCCATTTTTTATAACTACAGATGTGTAAAGTTCAGAGAGTTTAAAGGGCATTCACATTCAGATGAAGAAAGGCCTCAACACCTCAAAGGAAAAAAGATAGAATACTGCAGTAATTGTACAACAATTTTTACAATTTTTAGTATTAGCAAGCAAACGAGTTCATATCAAAGAGTTCTAGGGAAAAAAAACAATTTTCAATTTACTTAGGATAATTGCAGGTGGCAAAAGGAGGTTGGCTGGTGTGTTCTCTTAAAGCATCCTAACTCTTCCTTTGACAACTGCCGTAAGTTAACACCGGATTGGTACATCCTGGAAAACAACCACAGTATATGTTTCAGGAGCGCTATTAAGGAAGAGAGGTAAAATGGACAAGTTTAAAGGGAGCAGAGAATTTGCCATACATTGCCGTCCGCTTATTGTGTGATGCCTTTGCTTCTGATTCCAGTGTGATAAATGCAGAAAGCCTCAAGGACAGTACAGACCTCAGGGATCAGATAAGATGGGAAGTGCTGGCTCAGACAATGTGCCTCACACTCGGCTTCCATGGAAGCCGCTGCCAGCTGGTCTCTGGCAGCACAAGGGCCCCTGTGTTGGTGTGATTGATGTGCACACCTTCCCCTGCCACTCTTGAGTGGTCTAGTGAGATTCACATGGAATAGGGAGAGGTGTGAGGAGCAAAGATTTTGGAGGTTGGTTTCTAACTCTCAGTTCTGAATTCAGCAAGGGACTTGGCCTCCCAGGGCAGAGCACCTATTTAAATCTCTTTCTGGTCAGCAGAATGTGTGAGAGAGCCAGTACATGCTTAGCATTCAACATTTGCTTAAGAGTGTTGGAGTGTGGCAAAACTCATCTGCAGTTCTGGAGAGGATGGCAGAGCATATTGCTCAAGAAAGCATCCAGTGCAATCTTAACAGTGTTTTTCAGCAAGCTGATGTGCCGTTGTAATAGCTAATAAACAGAAAAGGCAACTTTTAAGGACGATGGCAAGCCAGAGATAATGTTGTCTACAGGACTGATGGGTTTGAAGACGTGAATTAACTCTGTCTCTCTCACCAGCCAGCACTGGGTTTTGTCTGCTTTTCCCATCCGTGTGTTTTCTTTCTCACAGTTGATCTGGAGCAGGTATTTGAGCTGGATTCTCTGGAATACCTGGAGGCTCTGGAATGTGTGACCGAGCGTTTGGAAAACCGTGTCAATTTCTGCAAGGCCCATCTCATGATGATCACCTGTTTCGACATCACCTCTAGACGCCGATAAAGTATGAACCTCAAGAGAATTTCAATGCGCATCTCTGCCATCCTCCTTTTCCCTTCTGAATAGCATCCCAAAGACAACAGAATGAGGATGAAGGTTGGAGTCAAGTCTCAACTGTGTGTATGAGAGATTTGCTATACTATACAGAAGAGTAGTATTAAAAAAGCAGGACAAGCATGAAAAATGGAGATATAAGGCTGTTGATTCTCTTATCCTAAAAGAGCACTTTGAGGAACCTTTAAGGACATGTCTGTAAATAAGAACTGCTGGCAGAAGACACTTCTTTCCCTGCATTAGCGGAGGGAGGAGGAAAGGTGGTTGTCGGACTTCCATTGAGAGGTTCATTAAAAGAAAACCTATCCAGAAAAACTGTTTAAGTGCCTTGCAAATCTTTATTATCCAAACATTTATGTTCATACTTTATTGTGTACAGATGGTGCTAGTCAAGAAAACAAAAAGGAAAAAAACAAACACACTTTTGAAATGTATTTACAGCTTGTTTTTCTCTTGGTGTTTTCTCCTATTTCAGACTTGCTGTTTCTAAGTAACTTGTGTTTGTAGAGATATTTCCTAATCAGTACAACATATGAATAAATGTTAACTGTCTTTTCTTGTTACCAGAGTAAGGGCACTCAAAGAAAAATTCAGCTTTCCCAGATGACACAAAAAATATTTCTAGCAGTGAGTAAGGTTTGCTTATATGTTCTTCATACTATCTTATATGCTGGAGGACACAGTAATTTTCCCAGCCTGTAGATTCTGCAATGTATGAGAGAAGAGAGGTGACATTACAGTGAAGTAAATATCTTTTCCATTTGATCCAACCCCCATAACTTGTTTTCTTTTTCATTTTTTAGCTTTGTACTGCCTAGAGTTATGGATGAGGTGGCACTTTTATCCTAACCCCTTTTTCTGGTGCTAATAACTCTCTGGAAAATTACTCTTCAGGCTGAGAGCTCCCATGCTTATCAGTCCAAAAATGAGTGATTTATTCTGTCTGTCTTGAGACTATGATTGATAAAATTTACCTTCACCTCTTTTTGACATATACCACTCCAAAACATGTTTTGGCAGTTTTTGGTCCCTGGCCCAGTCTGTCCATCGTCACAGACATACCTGAGAAGTGCCGGCTCTGCTCAGCTCAGCGCGTCTGGAAATAAATGGGAGTCGTGAGTGAGTGGATATAGCGCTTCAGGCATGTTGGCTATGGCATTTTCCCTATCAACCCTCCAGTATTGAAGCCATGGCAAAATTCACATTGACATCAAAAGGACAAGGGTCTGTGCCTCAGTGCACATCCGAATGTTCTACTTGCTTGCCTTTATCTACAAAGCAGTATGTGGGAAGGAACATCCTTTGTGTTTCTTAAAGAAATGTATGAAATCTGTATTTTAATTATGTATGAGCATGAAGAATTATGTTGTTGAATTAGGTTTCTTCTTCTTCTCTACTGAAATAAGCCCATTCACAAAAATTCCTCTCACATGCGTTCATGCTGCTCTCCTGTTGTGTATGAGAAAATAAGAACATAATTTAACATATACTCAATATGCATCAATTTACTGCTGTACTTAAATGCAATTCTTCTTTTACCTGTGCCATCATATTAATGCCAACTTACAATAACTCAAGGAGCAAGTCCCACTGGAAAAATAACCCTAAAAAATAACCCTACATAAATACTGATAGGTTTTCTAGTGGTTAGCTGAAAAAAGGTGATTTGGTTTTTGGTTGGTTTTTTTTTTTTTTAAAGGTAGAAATAACATTTGTATAGTTTCATTTTCTTTTAATACTCTACAACTTGTAATAACAAATCTTTTTCATTTTATTAGCCTTGTCACTGGATTTTGTAGAAAGTCCTTCTTACGTTCTACAGGATTATTCAGAGGAAAAAAAGGTCTGATATGAATGTCACTTTCTAGTCTGTTCCACAGCATTTTCCTATCATGAAACTCATATTCCAAGTAAGTATTAAAGACATAGGTCTCTTCTCTCTCAAGACAAAAAAAAAAAAAACAAAAAACCTCTGAAAGAGAATCCCAAACAATGTGATTTCTATAGCTTTGTTTCTCTTTGTAATGATTTCAGTAGTGCTTGTTATATATTGGTTCTTTTGAGGCCATCTCTTCCCCGCAAAGCCCCATGAATTCAGTACAGTTCCACAGAACCATGGGAATTGCCCTTATAGTTTTGTGTTGGATGAAGATCTAGTGCCTTTGGGATGTTGAGTGCAGCTCTATGGGGTCTTAGCCCTGCAGAGCCCCAGATACACGCTGCCAGGTAACATACACACAGGAGTGAGATTTTCACAGCCAGCTCCCATCTGTCACTCACCTGCGTCCCCAGGTAGGCCTGTACCACTCTCACCTGTGACACTGTGCTAAGCCTGTCTCCCAGGCCATACCCCTATATTCAAGGAAGAATCACCCCCCACCCAAGTTGTGCACGTGAAATTAAAGGTTGCCTTCTTTAAGCTGAAGCATTTCTGAAAATGTGTTTGCTGGAAGGTGGCCATTGGGTAACTGGGACGCTTTGTCCTTCCTCTGCTGAAAAGAAGCAGCCCAAAATGGGCACCTTGGGCTCCCTGGGAGCCTACGGTAAGATTGTAAATGGTAAGTGGTACAGTAAAAGTAAATATACACTTGATAGAAAGAAAGTGAAATCCTAGGAAATGGTGCATCCACAGAATGCGTTATTATCAAGAGATGCCCTCTCACATAGTCTGGGACTCCTACAGAAGTCGTGATGTTTCTATTAATCAAGTGGACACATTTCAGAGCTGTTGTAAAATATCTATTACGTGTAATGTTCCTCAGCATCATTAACTCAATTAGTAATTGCTTCTAGATTTGGTACTTGTGTAGATTAGGAAGCACAGCAAAAAGCATGTCTATCTAGCCATTATTTTAAAAAGTTAGAGCATATGTTTCCCCTCTTTATCATGATGGACCAAAATTGATTCCTGAAACCAAATGGATTATGGTGAATTTGGCATACTGAAAATACTAACTGAGCAGAATCACAGTCCTTGGGAACATTTTATTTCTGAGGACGTAATTAGAGTGGCCATTAACACTCCCATCATATAGTCATATTCATATCCTAAAATCCATACTCATCTTCTCTTTTTTGACATTCTGTCAGTGCATTTCAGAATTTGCCACTATTTTTGGGAATTGTGGTGGCTTAATGCATAAAAGGGGATGAAAATTTGTGGAGATTTGACATCTGCAAAATGTTTTCTCATTGAAAATAGCTTTTTACTTCAGAATTTATATTTTTATACTTCAAATATCTGCAAAACAGATAGCTAAAAACATCAGGGCCTTATTATGAAATTTATCTTAGTCTATGGTAACCAGCACTTTAGAGAAGACCCATACACTTCTGCAAGTCATCCAGGAAGTCCCATTCTATAAGCAATTGCCAGTGGAATGCTGCTTTTATCCCGATTTTTTAAAAGTCATCAAGTTGCCTAAAATACTCAAGAGCAACATGAATGGACTGCTTAATTGTTTGCACATTCAGAAATCAATCTTATTTCCCTGGGACAGCTTTAGTAGGAAACAGCAATGATAATGTAATTAGGTTTGAAGGTTAATTCTTTGTTCGTATGCGTAACAGGAGATCCCAGTTCTTCATTGTCAGGTTGTGCGATGGCTGCAGAACACCACCACTCCTCCGCACCCCCACTGCTGCACTCAGGCCTGGGCAGCTGGGGCAGTTTGGGCCTCATTCTGAGAACTCCTCATCTTGGCATACGTGAACCTTATTTATACAAGGGACAAAACTTGCTTTATAGCCACAAATTGAAGTGAAACCTTAGACTGGAGAGTTTGGCTGCGATCTGGATTCAGCCATCCCACTGGTCTGTGTGAGGTCTCACAGTGGGCAGAAAGCCACAGGTCGCACACCCGCCGACTCTGGATGCTGGGTCACTTTGTGTCCTAGAAGGGTGTGGGAGAGCCCTAATTCCCAGTGCATTTGTCATAACGACACGTATCTTTTCTCCTGCCATGAATGCCTTGTATTTGCCTCAAAACAATTTCTTGTCGATTCATTCAGATCTAAGCGATCAGAAGTAGTATTTCACAGAAAGGCAAGGAAGCAAAACTGATACCCAGGCTCTCCTTTCTTAGCTCTTTACTGGGCATGTTCTCAGCTTGCCTGCCCTGGTATAAATGAAGCACAATTGCATTAAGAGACACGAGAGTTATAGCACAGTAAACCCGGTTGCATGGAAAAGGACAGTTCACCCACCTGCCATTTCTGGGTATTTACTGTGCTGCTAGTTATACAGTCGAAGAATATGTTCCTCTTACTTATTTGATACCCCCTCATTTTGCCTAAGGGCCATGCACAGGGCTGTCACTGAATGTCTGCTGGCTTCAATCCAGTCTTGGAAGACTCCCACTGCCATACAACGTAACTTCTGAAACTTGCAGCTACATAAAATAGTAACTGGTAAAGAGCAATGGCATGATCTTCTGACACAAAGCAAGCTAAGTGAGAGCTGCAGAAAATGTACAAAAAAGGATGAAAGGTACACACTGGTATTTTTTTTCTTTCATCTCTGAACATGGTAATTATAGAGGCAGAAATCTGGGAGTGATGCTGGGAGTAATGCACATCAAGTCCCAAGCTTGCTCACAGGATAGACTCAGTACATCTTAAAGTGTTTCTTTTTTTTGTTTTTTTTTTTTGGGGTGTTTTTTTTTATTTATCTCAATAATATGGTTTGTCTTTAAATAGCCACTATTACGTGTGGCAGGGAATTCAAATTTTGTGACGGCTGAAGTATCTGGACTCTTTTAGAAACATTGCCTTTTACAAATGTTTGTGATTTTGTTTCACCTTTTTTTCTGAGCTAAAAATAATCATTATAATAAAGGGTTGTATATACATACAGACAAATGTAAATGTACACAGCCTAAGAAGCATGCTCCCCCCTCCCCCTGCCATTATTGTGAAGAGGTGCAATAGCTGTTCACAAATGGAAACAACATAGAATCATAGAATAGTTTGGGTTGGAAGGGACCTTTAAAAGTCATCTAGTCCAACACCCCTGCAATAAGCAGGGACATCTTCAACTAGATCGGGTTGTTCAGAGCTCCATCCAACCTGACCTTGAATGTTTCCAGGGATGGGGCATCTACCACCTCTTTGGGTAACCTGTTCCAGTGTTTCACCACTCTCACTGTAAAAAATTTCTTCCTTATATCTAGTCTAAGACTTCCCTCTTTTAGGGAACTGTCATCCCTTGTCCTATTGCAACATGCCCTACTAAAAAGTTTGTCCCCATCTTTTTTATAAGCCTGCTTTAAGTACTGAAAGGCTGCAATAAAGTCTCCCCAGAGCCTTCTCTTCTCCAGGCTGAACAACCCCAACTCTCTCAGCCTGTCCTCAGAGGAGAGGTGCTCCAGCCTTCTGATCATTTTTGTA